CCACAGCGGGTATGCCAAGGAATATTCCGTGTTCTTCGCACACTGGAGTCCGATGATTCAGGGTTGGCCAAAGAAACAACTCTGCGCCCAGGGTTTCTTGCAGTCACGTAAAAGAACCGGTGAATGCGCTATCAGCCAACGTGGAAGGGGAGCGGTAGGCGAGTGAGTTATTACGTCCGGTTGACTGCTCACCTGAACATCCAGGACGGCGAAAGTTACGGCACCCCCATATGCTGAAGTCGTGACCAGAGGACAGAGGGCCCGAAGCTGCACCAAGAGAACCGGGCGTACGAAGCATCCACCGGAGTTAGGGCTTCCGAACCCATCAGACCTCGTCTCCCTGTGAGAACACGCTCGTTCACGAAGGTTGGTGGAAGGACTCGAGCAGTATCGTTTTTTCCCAGCGGAACCTCCCAAATTGGAAGCGGCATTCACGCGCGACTTTCAAAGTCCGGGTGCGCGATATAGGGCATGTGCCGTGGAGTAGGTCGATCTTCGATGTGTCTCGATACAGAGCGCGTCAGAGTCTTCTCATCTGTAGCATTCGCACGCTCGTTGCGGGCCGACCACGATTACAACTTCGCCGTTCGATTGCCGGAGCGACTGTTCTTCACAGCGGGAGAGCAGGGGCTGGCAGACCACAGACATGAGATGTGGATAGAAGTGTGAGTGATATGGTTAGGAGGAGAGGAGTGGCTGACGACGCGTGGACCCACAAATTTGGCCTTTTGCTACGATTCCCACGTGTCCTTTGGGCGCTCCGACCTGGGCATCCGACGCTAGGCCGGATCTGTCTCGCAGCCACTAACAGCACCTAACGCAGGAATCGTCGATGTGTGCAAGAATCTTGTTGCCCCCTGCGCCTATGCACTGCTTGCAGCCGACACTTTTTGAATATGATAGATGAACTCGTAGAGTCTTACCGCCGTCTCTTGCCACGCGTAGTGACTGCGTGAGCGTTGTAAAGTGCATACCACGAGCAGAAGATTCTGCTTGGCGGCTCTATGTGACCAAAGCTCCAGGGGAAATGCTGGCGCTGAAGGAAGGCAGGATGACCGCGAAGTTGACGTTGATCGCGGCAGTGGGCGTTTGTATTGCCTAATTGAGCGATGCGCTGGACGGGGTCACGTGGCGGAACCCGGGCCCTTAGCACGGCGTCGAGGACTCTGCTTGGGCCCCGACCTCTCTGCGCCGCATGGCCCATCGCTGTCTGCGCCGATTCAGACTCGCGAAGCCACCCAGCCTCCCGCATGTTCGCGCCTTCCACCCCACTCTCACCTCCTTCGTGGTAGCGGACCCCTCATCGTCATCCCCTTCGACTTCTTCATCCTCCTCACCCGTGACATCTTCATCCTCCGCCCTCCTTCCTTCTCAGGATGCCCCTCCTTCACGACCCGATACTCTTCCGGCACGTAAACTCGAGGAGCTCCGAGCCGTCCTGTCTCTCAAGTCACCCGACCCAAATCGCGTCTGGCTTCTCTACCAGCAAGTCCTCCATCTCCATCCTGGCGATACGGTCCCACTAGAGACCCACCAACGCGTGCTCCGAAAATGCGTCCCGCCTCCTCTCAACGTACGAACCATTTCGGCGCGACATCGAGTGCAGAGAACAAGATGGGAGGCTCCTGCAGTGTACGAATCGCGCTATCGGCAAGTCCTCCGTAATATACGCTCCACTGGACAAACGCCCTCGCTTCGAGAATACCACTGCATACTACAGTACTTTGCGGCTCGCGGGGACTTTAACAACGCGCTCCTGCTTCTCAAGGAGATCAACCGCCAAGGACTGGCGAAACAACCCCGAACGTATTCCTATGTCTTCATGTCCATCGCCCATCGCCTCACTTTCCCCATGGACGAGGAGAAACGTCGGCGCGTGGTGCTCAAGCTTGCTCAGAGGTGCAACATACTTATGGAGGAGATGTCCAGGGCGAACATGCCTTTGGATCAGGTGAACGTCGATCTCGTAACACGCATTCTGAAGGAGAGTATGGACATGGAAGCGTTCACAACCCTCATGAGGAACGCGTACGGCATCGACATGGACTTTCCGGATCGATTGCCCTTGCGATATTGGGAGAACCGAAGCTCTGCGAGTGCGGATGACGCTGTCGATTCACAGTCCAAACACGTCCCGGCTCGGTTCAACATCCATGCCTTCCACACTGCTCTGGAATTCCTTGGGAGGCAACGGGAGGTTTCAAAGCTCGTCCAGCTTTTCGAGGTGGTCACCAATCCTCTTCCTGCGAGTGCCATCCACCGGAACCCGAACGAGGAGGAAGATGACGACTTCGGCGAGTCGGATCCCCAAGTGGCACCTTTCAAGCCTCCACAAGTACAACCTACCACCAAAACGTACGCCATCATGATCAAGTGGCTCGCGAACGCCGGTCACCTCGTACTGGTCCGACACTACGTCACCGCAGCGATAGACTGGTGGCAAGACCGAACTCGCACAATGAAAGCTTGGACGCTCCACCTCCCCGCGAACGAGATTCCTGCACTTCGTATGTCTCTGAACCATTCCCACTTCACCCCCGCCGTCGCCGTCGCCGTTCAAGAACGGAAGGTCCTCCTCACCCGCTGGTTGCACGTCCGCATCGCCCGCGCCGCGCGCCGGCACAAGTACGACATCGAGTACTACACCGAGCTCCGCGAACGGTGGCAGAAGCTGGGGTTCTACGCTCCCTCCCTCTCCCCTCGGTCCGACATGGCCGACGAGACGACCGAAGACCACGTCCAGATCTCCCGCTCCAGGCCGCTGCTCACCTACGTCGACCCCGCCCTCCCGCAGCCGGAGCACGACGAGAAGCGCGCGCGCCTGCCCAAGCCCCCGGTCGGCGTCCCCCGCCTCGACATCGACACCCACCTCCGGGTGCTCCGGCACGAGTTCCGCCAGCTCTCCGACCTGGAGAAGGAGACGGAGAAGAAGCTCGCGGGCGCGACGACGCGCAAGGCCCAGTGGGTCGGCCGCCAGGTCTGGGCGGAGAAGCCGATCTTCGTCCCCGGGGAGCCCGCGCTCGTGAAGGTGTCGCCCGAGGAGTACACCGCGCAGCTGAGGGGCAGCTTCAAGACGACGTGGCAGACGATCCGGAAGCACCTCAAGCGGCGGCGCGGGAGCACGCGCGCGATGGAGTGGCGGCGGTGGCAGCGCCGGCCGCCGCTCTTCCGCGGGGCGATGGTGCAGAAGGAGCTGGACGCGGAGGCGCTGGAGATCAAGCCTCCGTTGGTGAAGCTGGCGCTGCTGGCGAGGAGGCGGAGGTGGAGACAGCTGTTCGTGACGAAGCGCAGGATTCGCATCATATCCGAGAAGCTGGCCCGCGAACGGGGCCTCGAGACAATACCGGAGCTGATGGAGGAGGGTACGAAAGCGCGTCGGCGTTCGTGAAGGTCTTGTCGTCCTTCCCTGCTGTGTACCGTAGGTGCGACTATGCGATTCACAACTTGGGATAAAAGCACTGACCCTACTTGCAGGCCCTGCTTAATTTCATCACGCCTCAGCAGCTCGTTTCGCGCCGAGACACGTAAGTGGGCCGGTGCGTGCCCTGCATGCCTGTTGTCGAGGGTTGCCTGCGTCTAGACCTGAAGTCACGCTCTCCCCCATATTACCGTGTATCCTCTCATAATGCTACGTCTTTGGACGCTGTTTCGCTTGATTTATGTGTCTTTCTCCAACGCATGTGTTGAAGAAACGTGCCGAGTGACGTGAATGGGGCGCGTTCGCTAAATGCGACCTACCGCAGCACACCTGGCAGGAGCCGCTCTTCTCACGCCCACTGCCGTTGGGGGATAAGGTGAGGGCCAGCCTTGCCGACCGCTTCATTTCTGCACTCGCCCACTGACGAGCAGGCTCGTTGCTGGTGTCATGGTATGCTCCCCGCTGTGGTTTGCTCTCGATTCGCACTGACACGGGTTCACGAATGTAGGTCACTGCCGTTCAACAATTCTTCGATCAATGGCCTCACTTCATCTTCGATCCGACCGTCTCCGTCTGGAAACAGTTCTACGACCTCTCGGACGGCGAAGACTGGGAGGACGACATCAAGTACGAACATAAGCGGAGGCTCGGACGAGCCATGGTGCGACAGTTTGAGCAGATGTTCGGGCATGCTGCGGATAGATTGGCGTCGTGGCAGCTGTTGTGCACCGCGCTAGGAGAGAACCCTCCTCCGAGCAAAATTAAAGATTGCAAGGAAGTGAGACGATCTCGTTTCCCGACACCTTTCTGTTGACGCCGGTGATGCTGACTCTGGGATCGCCAGCTCCTCTACCGCACCCATGTGAACATCGTTGACTTCATTCTCCCTCCCAATCCGGGCCAACCCGTCGAAACGTTCCCCTCCGAAGTTGCTTTGAGCATATACAGCAAACGCTGCCAGAAATTCTTTCCGCGCGACGACGTTGCTCCAGGCAGCTTGCTCGAAACACTGCTGCGACAACTCATCTCACCGCGCCCGGACTACGGAACTCAACCGCGAGGGAGGGGCCAGAACTTCCGCCGCGGTCGCGGACGTGGAAGCGGGCGGGGACGGGGGTCTGTGCGGGGGTCTGCATGATCGTACCAACTGTTGTGAGTTTCGGTCGTAGACTTATTCATGCGACAACGGAGACTGCCAGACGCGTGGTCATTTTTGAGAACAATAAATATACGTCGTCCGTCTGAGTAGCACATTTCCGGGTGGATTTCCGTTGCGGGATGGTACCCTGCTACACTGCAATTTGCTAGATCATGGGCAAGATGAGTGTCTCGCAGCGTGCAATGTGCATGCACCAGCACCCCCGCCTCATGTCAGTGACGCCGCGAACTGCCGCAGCACACGAGTCCTCTAGCTCGCTCCATCCGTACGTACGCTGACGACTCCCACAAGATCCCTCGGCTTACACTCCACACTCAGATGCCATTAGGTCCCATGGTAAGTAGCATGTGTTCGAGATCTCCACCTTGGAGCACGCTATATAACTGTCATTAGAGCAACAAGTCGCCCAAACACATCATTGCCTTCTTCGCCCGATACCCCGACTTCAAATATCAGAAGGGTGCTTCGCTCCCACTCGAATTCCGGCGGCTTGGAGAGGAGTCGGATTGGAAGAAGCAGCAAGAGAAAGAGGCCAAGCGCCACTTACGAGACGCGATGGTGAAACAATTCAACACCACTTATGGGCGCGACGCATCAAACCTGGCATCGTGGCAGCTCTTGTGCAGCATGATCAGTGACGAGCCCCCTCCCAATACCGTGAATAAATGTCGAAAGGTGAACGATTCCTGGTCGTTGGTCTTTTGCGGTTCTTTACATAATGTGGTACAGATCATTGATAGCACGCACGTCAACTTGGTCGATTTCATCGACGGGCTACCCGGCCCATTCAAAGTGCGAACGTTTCCGTCGGTCGGCGACCTCGCTAAATACACCCATGCCAACGAAAAGTACTTCCCAAAGGAGAACGCTCATGCCGGAAGCCTGCTCAAACAGCTGCTTCGCAAGATTGGCAGGCGACAGTGAAGACGCGCGGCGACGGACTTAGGCGGCTATCGCGGCGGAAACAGGAACTGGCGAAAGGCGAGAAATTTGAGTTGTCGTTGAGACTTGAACCAGCTGCGGGCGGTGGCTAGGTCGCAGAGTGTAAACAAGTATTTTATGCACTTGTACTGGTATTAGTCTGCCCGTGGCTGTGTCAGCCGCGCAGAAGTCGGAAGTCGGAAGTCGGGCCCGTGAGAGTACTGAGCGCTGAGCCATTCGAATGATCGCCTCATACGCCACCCCTTGCTCTCCCAAATCACTACACGGCCATTCCGTCACAACTTTATGGTCGATATCTTTGTGTCAGCTCCGCCGACTTGGATCACTCGCTGGAATCGGCCAGCCTTGCGCGAGCTCTGGCGTCTCGTGGCAAGTTGCTCAAATATCTAGGTGCAACGGTGGCAGAAGACCAGGAGAAATTCGATATTATTCTTTCCACATATGGTCCTTTAATGCCGCACCGGAGGTTTTCAACGATGACAACCAAAGGACTTCAAACGGACACCCGGTGGAGGACATGCTAGCTTCCCTTGATCCACCGTTCCTCGGAGTGATCGGAAAGGACTACTGTCTTACTCCTGTGCGAAACAGCCCCGTAGACACCCAAAGGCTCGACTCACACTCACCCCGTTCTCCTTCCCTGTTCACTAGGCTGAGGCCTTGTGCTGTTACGACCTTGGCGTCCCTACCGGCTTCGCTCCCGTCGCCCGCGCCAATCCTCAGTACGTTCCCATCCCCTCCTCCGAGCACTGGACTTCTATCCATCGCGGCCTTCGCGCCGATCTCGGAGCCAGGTTCCGACAGAGAGTCCTCTCCCACACTCTGTCAAGCCTCCACGTTCGAACAACATAGCATACATTCAGGATGCACGTCGTTCCAACGTGACCACGCTCCAGAAGTGGTCTCCTCACATCCGGACACCCTAGGACTGCGTGCTTCGCCTTGCGTCCCTCTTGTCACTCGGACCGTCGCCGATGACATCGTCTGCTCCGACATCGGAGAACGTTCCCGTGTTGGTGACCCCGGGCCCGTGCGAGCGCACGCTGCCAACGATAGCAGTCCGGAACTCGTGCCGCCTCGCCTCCGTGCCGCAGACCCGCGGCGGCTCATGCGTACCGAGGTCGCCGCCGGGGTCTTCCGAGACTTTCGGCGCGTGCTGGCGGAGCTGCGGGGGAGGATCCTTCGGAGCCTGTCGCCGCGGAGTTCCGCGCCGTGACGGTGCAGAGGGACGTACAACGCCAACAAGAAACACAACGCCGTGGTCCTCCTCCGGGTTTATCCCAGGCCCCGGAAGCATTCTGTCCAGCCGGGTGTCT